GGAGTAAGCGGTACATAGTAGATTAGGCAAATTTGTTTTTGCCAATGCATGATGATTGCTTCCCTCGGTGCCTCATTTAATGATTCGACCTAATTAGACAATGCTTGGTGAACTTCAGTTTATGAACAGCTGCTTACCCCAATGTAAACTTATGAGACCGTTGTAAATTTGTGAACAAGACGGCTAGCTGCATAAATTGTCAAATTTATTTTCACGCCTACAGTGCAATTTATATCTATCCGCAGTGGAACGATAAAAAATATTATTCGGTGCGCCACTGTTCCCTGTTTATAAGTGTTCTGGCATTGTTTTATGTATTCGTGTTACTGTATTATGAACTCGCCAGTGAGGTTAAAAGCATTATTCATTGTTTGCATTTTTTTCACAATCGCTTCTCACGAATAGACTGCATGATAAAATACCATAATGCCTTCTCCAGTGGTTTCCCATACTTCCATTTTGAGATTTCATGTAGAGCGTTGTTTTCTTGCTTCATACGGCGGATTGTCTTTAAAAATATGGCGAAGCGTGGTGACAATTGCTTGTTTAATTAACGATTACAGTGTCAGTGACTAATCATCAAATCTCTAATTGACCGTTTGTTTTTTTTATTTTTGTCTGTAGTCGTTACCTGATGTATCAGGGTCAAGGACCGGGTACCTAAATTAACGATCCCTAACACTTCTGAATTCTCTGAATGTTTTATGCGATGTTGATTGCTGCGGTACAGCTCATACCAGTCTCTAGCAGCTTTTAAAGGTGCGATGTTGACGGCTTGTCGGCCTGTGGCCATTTTTTGCCTTCCAGAGGAGCATTGGCCATTGACTCAGTGAGGTAAATATTCCCACAGAGAAACTTTTCTAGTTCGTCAATGTTTAACCGTTTTCCGCGACATGGGCGCTAAGTTTGAGTGCACTTTTCCTGCATGAACAACCGAAGAAGCCAGGACATTTCATGGATTTAGAAAACATGAACTTCTCAACGAACCGCTTTCGGCGGCGGCGAGTGAAAGTGAGGTTAGCTGAAGCTGGCGGCAACGACTTCAAGATGACAGTTGAATGGTCAGCTCACGATGTACCGTCTGAAGATCAATCTCGCTTCGAGCACAGATCACCGAATGCACGATCGCCGTCATGCGAACACTTCGAAGGTGACCAAGACAAAACAGCAGCGTGCCGTGTCGTCTATGTCTTGAAGACGTCGGCAAATGGCCGGGCATCGGAAAGGCGGGTTTGTCAGCCGCTCAAAGACCGAGTACAAACTGAAGTCTCTGACGAATGCGTTGGTGCCAAAACGGTTAATGAATAATGAATGGCAGCAGCAGTGGTACGCATGCAGCAAAAATCAATTGGAGGCTACTGTCGGCAGATAGGAAGATCACGGCTCTTCACTTAGTCGAGGTCGACAGTAAGACTCACAATCGAAGAACTTCGGCTTGAGCTCTAGCTCTGATCAGGTCACTCTTACGTCATCCTTCAGAAGTAGATTAAAACGTATCTCGTTGTGGAAAGAGAACCTCAGTCCATACTGTACAGTGGTTATGTAGCTGCAGGCAATGTTCCTAAGACGAGAGAAGCAACCTAGTCGATTGGATGGCACTGGATATTAGCGTCACACCATCAGCTCCACCGAAGAAGGGTGTTTCACTCACTGATAGCTCTGCTGTTATTAAGGTCCTCTTTTTCTTCCAACAGAAATAGCAAGAAGTAAATAACGTTTCTTGATATTTAGTTTACGAGCACATATAGTGATAGTACAATCTACAATACAGGGTAGATCAAAGTAAATTGCAAAAGTGTGTTAATTGGAAATTTCGCGAAAAGTTGGCCATGAACACGTCGAGGCATGGCACTGTTCAAATTGTTCACAGGTGATGAACTTTCACGTTGTAAGCTAGCTGCGTCGAAGAACGAAAAGAGATGACTTGTTGAAGAGGATTAAAAGTTAAGCGAAATCCACGCCACCCTTAAGAGTGAAACCCGGCATCAGGGGATGCAAGACGAATGATTTATTATTATCATTATTTCGACAGTGTTCCTCGTTAAGTTGTGAGGACGGTGTTGACTGATTCTACTAAATGCTCACATGCAAAGCGATTTTTGGAGTGTTATTTGTTTAATCCAAAAGTTTTATGAGGCTCCAATTCCAGCTGATAACCTTGAAACAGAGTGCTTAAGCGAACGATGACATAAACCTAGGTTACTCTGCTAGCATTCGATGACGATGATAAAACAGCAACAACCACAAACCGATAATGAGGCGTTTTATTTATTGTCCGAAACTTCAGATTTAAATTGGAGTGATTTCGCCTTGAAACTTCCTTGAGCCTGTATCTGTCGTGTTAGAAGTCTTCGTCCTTAAAGACCCGTCCCTAGAACCATTAAAATGTATGAACACGAACACTGGAAGCAACCTCACATCGACTTCACCTTTATTTGCTTGTTTTCGAGCGCGTTTCCTGCACAGCAAAGACAGAAGTCGAATGTTCCGCCATGTGCTTTACCTTAGGCTGTATCTTACAGTAATGCTGCTGAAACATTAATCTTTGATATCGTCTGATTTTAAGCGGTAGTCCTGATACCGGCGACGATGTATCGATTTGAACCTCCCGGCGAAACTCAGCTGAATCACCTCCTCGGCGGTCTGTCACAGCACTCCAAAACAGTCGCACACTTCATCCCTGCGGATTTGCATATTATAAAGAGGAGCAGACCCGGAAGTGCTCAAGGTCTGCCACATGAGGAGTCAAAACCGAACCCACAATATCGTTTAGCCGTGAATTCGTAAGCAATTCCGCCCTCACCCAGTGAATTGATCCGCTGTGTGCTTTTGACATGACCAATTGCAGCGAAAAACGCTTTATTTGGCCATTTGGCTATGTTGAGAACAGAGACAACTGCTCAGGGAAACTGAGGCAACAATTTTGAAGATTCACGCAACAGAATCTTCCATCGTCGCATATCTGATGCTCTCAAATCACAGGACACATGAACGAAACGTTCATCCGTGATGACCCGCCGATCAAACGATGGTGTAGAAAAATACGCCTCCAAGAGGCAGCTGCAGTTCATTGGTTTAAAGACCATAATTCTGGCCAGACATATCATTTTTTATTTCTTGTTTGTTTCTTGGGAATAGAATCATGTGCTCGCGTGAATGATGTTCGAAAATTGCAAAATAAAGTTCAGAGATGCGAAACAGTAACATAACCCTTGGATAATTGTTCGCCTGCACACACAAGGTTATTTATTCTTTTGCCTGAGCCACGTTTTACATGAACGTTTCATCTTCATCTTCCATGAACGCTTAACGATATATGGTTTAAAGTAACGACCAATAACCAAAAACCCTCTGTGAGTTCGAATCTTGTCGTTGAAATCCCTCTCGTTATCTTGTGTGATTTCTGGGCAAGGTATTTGTCAAATAAATAACGTGCATTGTGCTTTGCGCCTCACTCAGCGAGAAAAACCTCGCTGACTCGGTTGCTGAGGACAAACGGAAAAGTGTGGATAGTCACCGGCTGAATCCGATTCAAACATCGACTTCGTGGTCACTTTTGGCGTCGAGTGTCACACACAATAAAACCGTAAGAAACGAGAGGCACGAAAACTGGTTCCGACGAATTGCAGTATTGTGAGGAGGCATTATACACGGACGTACCGGTTTTCGACTGTGCACACAAGACAGCAGTCTTTTTCATTAATTTGTGCAAGGAAGGAGGGGAACGGATGGGCGGACCGGCAGAGCCATCGTCTGCTTACGACGGAGCTATCTCGAGCAGTATTGGCGCCATCGAACCTCAAACGCATTTCATTCTATTCAAGAATTATTGACACTTTCGAGAAATAGCATGCTATCGGAACAGTGAATTTAAAAAGGCAAAA